TTTTTTTTAAGGCACCTATTTTTTACTAGTATAAATATCATATCAGTCCATAGTTCAATCACATCAAGCAGAATTGTACAATTGCTACCACATCAATTTCCAAATTTCGTTTTCTTCCTGGACTCCTTGACATCGTGTCTCCTTAACTCCCCCTCCACTAATGTACTCCTTCACACACACACACACACACACACCATTCCCCGATATTGCTGACTCGATAGCCTCATCAATCCTAGGTTCCACCTATCGAAAAACAGAAACAGGTGTAACACAACTTTAAGAGGGTGACCTCCAATGACATGGCACCCCTGATCCTAATATGAAGAAGCAAAAACCAAACAGAACAATACAAACCAAAGATGCAGACAGTTTAGAAAACCAGATCAGGTCCAGCCTGCATCGTAGGGGACAATTACTGACTGCGTTTTAACTGTTCAAGTCAGATTTACGTCATTGCTTTCTGTCCTCATCTCTCCAAAGCTCTCTGTGTGGATGGGCCTTTGGCCTACAGAGCAAGTAAAGCTGAATGCCTTCAGGCGGGAAGCTCACTTGCCCAGTGAGGTACCTCTAGGCCAGTGGTCTTGACCTTCCTAATGCCACGATCCTTTCATACAGTTCATGTTGTGGTGGGCCCCAACCATAAAATTATTTTTGCAGCTACTTCGTAATTGTCATTTTGTTACTGTTATGAATCAGGTGACCCCTGTGAAAGGGTTGTTCGACCCCCAAAGGGGTCACGACCCACAGGTTGAGAACCGCTGCTCTAGGCACTTGATTAGGGCTGCTAGGTTTGCTGACCTCTGGAGCTAGAGCGGAATGCTTTCAGGCTGAGTTATAGTGGAATAGTATGCCCTCTGGGCATTTATCAGCAATACTAGAGGAAGGCAGAAGCCAGGGTAAGCCAAGGGGCTGAGGACCAGAGATGGGATTGCCCGTGGCCACAACAGAGAAGAGGCTGTCTTGACCTAAGAGCTGTATTCTGAGGGTTTCTGTTCCTGAATTGAAACCTCTTTACTTCTCTAACAAACCTCATAATCCTATAAATGTTGGCCAGTCCTATATGGTCATGCCAAGGAATGATCAGAACTAGCAGAGATTAGAGTGGCTAGTCTCAGTATCAGGAAAGCAGGCAGAAGGCTGGAGCCATGTCTCATCTCTGCCTCAGAAGAACAGGCCTTGGGCTTATGAGTTTGATCTCCCTTCTCCCTTTTGTCATCTGAGAGGTCAGACACTGGCCCCATTTTTAAATCTGCCAACAAACATTTACTGAAAACTTACTTTTATTTGCCAGGCAATATATAAGATGCTAACAGTATAAAGATTAGGATATCATCTTTGTTTCTAGAGCCCACAGGCCTTCGTGGAAAGACTTTTGCCAAAAGATTATGACACATTGTGTTAAGGTCTATCAGAGATATACAAAAAAGTACAAAAGGAGGGAGTGGGAGGAAATATAAATCTTCCCAGGAGATTTCAGAAGGCTTCTCAAAGAAGGTATCTCTCTCATACAGCTTTGTATGAAGAGGCCAAGATTATTCATGATCTTATAGGCTGTGGTGATTAATTGGCATTTATCCTTGAAGAAATATACTTGGAGGGTGAAGGCAGAATTCTGAACAGGGATGCAAAGCATTTACATTTCTGATCATTCTGCCTGCAGTCTGTACTACGGCCTACAGGGGGAGACAGAGCAGAGGATGAAAAGTCACAAAATTACAATAGTGAATTATGGCAGTACCAAAGATGTGAAACAAGATTACTTGGTTGGAAAAAATATTTAGGAATTAGAAACCACAAACCCAGAGTGTCTAATTCTATGCTAGTGTAAGTGGTAGGGTGGTAAAAGAGAGGAAAATATCGAAGATGACTTTCTGTAAGAGGTAGCTCAGTATAAAGGTTAGCACATAGTCTCTGGACTCAGGCTCTGAATTCAATCCTATTTCTTCCGCTCATTCGCTATGTGTTTCAGGCAAGGCGTTTATTCTTAATGAGCTTCAGTTAAATATAAATGTCAGGTGATCTTAGAACAGTATTTACATGTGTGTCTAACAATAACTGCTTGTTGTTATTATTACAGTATGTAGGGTGTCATTCAGTTTGGTTTTGAAGTCTAACTGTCCCATTTGAAGTGCTTGCAGAACATCCTATAGTTGAGTATCTGAGCATGTAGATCTGGGGTTGAGGAGAAGTTTTCCTTAGCCTAGTGACAGTCGCTAGAGCTTTGTATATACATGGAACTGCTTAGAGGAAGAGCTCAGGTTTAGAGTGCCCAGGACATTGAGGGCTAAAGGACAGATAAATAGGAGGCAAAAATGCAGGGCACCTGAGAAGGCCACGGGGGTAAAATAAGGGGGGCAGGGCAGAGAACAAAAGACACAAGAGCACCATCTAAGCATCAAGAGGAGGAAGAGGGTTGGGAAGGGTGTGATCAACACAGAAAACACTCTGCACCAGCTAGCAATGAGCACTGAAAAGCTCTATTACATCTAATCATAATGAACTCTATATAATAGTCATGTTAAATGCTTTCAAAGTAGTTTGCATGTTAGAATACAATCAAATGACATTTCCATTTTGCTTCTTAGTTTTAAACTCACTTTTAGAGAGAGAAGAAAGAAAAATCACCACTACATTGAACTATATTAACTTGCCATACTTGTAGATCAAGGGGGGGGGGGGCGGAATTGAATTCAAAAGTTTTATATAATTCAACTCTACTGAAAATCTCACCAAAAATCAATAGGATGAAGAAAATACTTTTTTTCTTTTTGTGTCATGATGCAAATGTAAAACTTTGTCCACCTTTAGTCTAGTTTCCTAAAGAAATATCACTGATAATGACTGCCAATGTTATAGTCACACAGATAAAAGCTAATCATATCTAAATGCTTTCCTTACTTGATATCATATTATAGTTATTTTTATTTTTATTGTCACTTTGCCTTTAAATCTAAAAACTGCAGGATGAAACCTGAATGCAAAAGTAATTTGAAGTGAAGGATATGTGTACCTATCCAAAGAAATGTATTCTATTACTAATAACACTGGTGGAAAATCTGGTTACTTTGGCAGTGCAGAAGTATAAAATAGTAAGTGTGTTAGCTTTGGAATCAAGTCCTGATTCTATCACTTATCAGGTATGAGGTCCAGGGAAAATGACTTACGCTCTAAGACTCCATTGTCTCTTATGTAACATGGAAAAGTGACTCGTCACACTGACTGCTGTTAAATTACGGACAGCTGCCTTCAGTGTTAAGGGATCAACAACTAGCCAAAAGGTTGGTGGTTTGAGGCCAAGCAGTGGTGACTCAGAAGACAAGCTTGACAATTTGCTTCTGAAAGGTCACTCATGCAACCCTATAAAACTGGGTAGAAGTGCCCCTGTGAGTTTCTGAGAGTGTGACTCTTTAAGGGAGTAGAAGGCTCTGCCTTTCTCCCTTGGAGCAGTTGGTGGGTTCAAACTACTGACCTTACAGTTGGAGCCCAACATATAACCAGTACTCCACCACAATTTCTAGTCTGAAAGGTCATGATGCTGAGAACCCTGGCGAGCAGGTCTAATGTGCACACAGGACGTCACCGTGAGTCCGCATCCACAAGACAACTAGCAGCAGGATGAGACAATGCATACACGGAGCCGAGCACAGGAGCCTCACAACAAAAGAGTGGGTGATGATATTTCGCTTTTCAGAAATCGCATTAGAAAGTGTGAAGGGATTATTTTAAAAGAGTAAATTTGGTCTTTTCATATACCAACAAAAACTCTTGCCCACTCACTACCAGGCCTTCCAAGAAGATAAGCCACCAGATCCCTGGCTTCCCAAGACACACGGGGGCACGGGGGCTCTGTAAGCAGTTTGCTTCTCATCAGTCAGAGGCTGGCTATTGTGTTTCTTATAAGTAATGAAATACATGACTCATAAGACCAAATAGATACCCAAACAAAAGCCATACATCTAACTAC